CAAAGATAATCGGAGGAAACTGCTGAAGAAGAACAACATAAACGAAATTAAACAATCGTGAAATAATTTTTTTATGCTTAATTTCTAGATTTTATTCTTTCGGTGAAGAAAATCAATCATAAATATTATCATAAATTGTATCAAAACTTTAGTAGATCGACTTCATCTGTTTCATTAACCAATGAAAGTTACTTTCAACGGCAACGGCAAATAAATAACCATACTACAATACAGAATAAAATTGAAGATGAAAATGAATCGCACAGCTCAAGCAGATAAGTATTTGTCTTATATATCATTTAGAGAATTGTTACAAGGGACAAGAAATTCAAAAATAGTAATGTCTCCTTATTGTCTTCCACAAAACACGAATAATTATATGCAGAACCAAATGAAAACACAGACTTTTGAATTGATAGTATTATTGAGAAACTCACCATCATACCAGCACGTGTCGACTTTTGTCAAGATCCTCAGCTACGTGAATGCTATGTTCGTTCATTTTGTTTGAAGAACAATATGCACCTATAGATGAGAACGATACAAAGTCAACACATTCAGTAGCAGTGATCGGAAGAATGTTTATCATCGACAGAGTGGACAATGAAATCATCGTACTTTCATTGAAGTCGGCTGTGCAGACTCATGAATCCAATTCATAAAACAATATATACACAGCTAGTGGTAAATAAGGACTTACGTATCCATTAGAAAAAAAATCATTTTTGGATTTATTCGAGTGCCAATTGAAACTAATGATGTCTGTTATGCGCCACTGAACGCGAGTTCTCTTCTTTGTTATGTGTGACCTCTTGCTTAACAATTGACTTTACTTTTATCTATTAATGTTCTCGCATGCGTGACTACATGATCGTGACGCTTTCTCTATAACGGGCATGTATCAGAAGAGAATACGAAGTTGAACCTATGAGTTAGTCAAATAAATATCGTACTGAACTGTATAAAAATTCATGAATTTTGATTTCTGTTACACTATCATATGAATATGTTTGCCGATGTATATTTGTCTTTATAGGTTGAATCTCACTGTATCTATCGAATCGACTGTGAAAATGCTTTGATTGTTGTGGCATCACATGATAATGCATGACATCAGAGATATTGATCATGATTTTCATAAATACGAATTTCATCACGCTTGACTTGAACAGAATAAAAGGTTATGATTACTCATAAAGACTTGAAAATCAACTACAGCGAACATATGACAGTTATCGAGGTATGACACTAACCATTGCGTGCTCATGCTGCTTAGGTTTTAATCGTTATGTAAATTGGTAGTAGAACTAATGTTGAGGATATTGCATAACGTCGGATTCGAATTTTTCAACACTTGAAACATTTAGTCAAGTTGTCTTTAGGGTTGAGGAGATTTAAAATGAAAATACTCTTCTTCTTTAAGTCGAAAAAGCATGTTTAAAGTTTGAAATTAATGCTCATAAAAGTGGAATTTTAGCTTATTAGAAATTTTTAGAAATTTATGAGATAGTTTGTCCAGATCGAATAACAGTATTTTCTCTTCTAAAGCAACCTTACATATATATGTGCTACTGTGAATGTAAGTGTACAGATATTATAGTTATATTTTAATAATGCGACAAAAATAATTCCCGATGATTAGTTAGGATAATGATATACGAATTCATTTATGAAAACGATAGGTGTAAGACATATGCAATATTCTTTTTTGAAAGCCATTTCTATACCGATTCGATTGATTGCCCTGGAATACTGTATTGCCGATGAAACTCGTCATTACTTTCTGTAATACTCTTTTTTAAAAACGACTTTTCGTCAAGAATCAGACGATGATAATGTATAAACTTTTTAAGTTTAACTAGGAGACTTTTATAAATATTTATTATTAGAGAATGTTTCATAAGCGCTAACAAAAGGGAATCATTGGATGGTTTTTCATAGGATCAACGAGGTATAGGCGAGACAAATAATGAAAATATTTTTTGTTCAATCAAAACCTTCACTACGTCTACCAAAAACGATTCCTTCAAGAAATCTAATCCCGAAGTTCCATAGGATTGTCAGCTTGTATTCTCAATCTATTTTCACAGATCACTAATCAAAATTTGACGTTAACCGCCGAATCGAGCGTTCCTATTGAAACTAATTCAGTTTTGATCTTTCAAGGATTTCTCGAACAGACAAATCTGACATATATTCCTTTCTCGTTTCGTTGTTTGATGACCAAGCAGCAAATCATCTTCACTGGTCACATTCTCTTAGAAACGAGATAATTGATATCATCGTTGTGCACTTTGCTTCTTGAAAGTGGGGAGCAACTGAATGATTACAATTTGCTATCGAACGATCAACTACATATTTGTCTCTCTTTATTTCATTACAGATCTTCTCAAGCTTCTTCCCAATACTCACTGAGTACATAACGATGAGATTATTGCTGAATGTCAGAGCAAGAACGATGTACTTCATCAGCTCGTCTATATATTGATGAAGCTTCAACCGTCGATGTTATTAACTGGTTCAATCACCGTATCAAGAAATAGCTACCATATGTTACACAGGGAAGAAATGATTGCCAAGAATATAACGTGTCGGGATTTATAATTTGATGATGAGCGGTTTCTTTTCAACTTTGACTTCGAGAAGTATGAAGTGAGTCGATATTGGAAGAGAGAGAAAGAATAAATGAAACGTCATGATAGGTGGCAAAGAGACAAACCAAGTGACTGATTTATCCAATGGGGTTTGTCGTTCGGCTCTGATAAGAATTGTGATGTCACGAATGCCGGAAATTAGCTAGTCTAATGCTTCTTCATCGAAGCTCCGTATTGTTGGAATATCGGTAGTATCCCCTTCGAGGACAATGAACTGACGATGATGATGCATCGTCAGATAAACCTCTCACACAACACTGCCTTCTATGAAAGAGAGAGAGATTGAATACTTAGCCATGGGGTAATTATCCTAACTATCTCGCGAGTTCAATAGAAAATGAGAGAATCGTAATAGAATTTATGCCCATGACTTAAAGATCATGAATTTTTTTTTTTTTTTTTTTGAGGGAAAATACGATTGTATGAATGAAGAACTCAGTAAAAGGACTGCCAAATTAAGATTGGTAGGCCATGAATATAACTCTTTATGAAGGGTTTTCGATCATTGAGAGACTTCTACGTACTGTAGTTATAATACGAAGTCTTATCTTACACAACAGCTGAGATAGTATCTGTGCTTGTGAATATTATCTTCTGCTGACTTCAATAGCTGAAGTCATCGAAGAAATGATTACTGTCGTCATTTCATCGCTTCCAATCACTGTAAAAAAAGGCGAAGAATAACCAACCGTTACACTTTTTGAAAAATTTTCCATAAACTCTTTAAGGGTGCGTATACGATTTATACTTAATGATTTATTATTTTACTCATAAGAGTAGATTATTCTACGGACAATAATAAATGATTTTATGATTCGAGCAATAGGACTAATTATTTTACGCAAGGAAATAGATTACTTTACATTTTCTTGCATAAAAAAATCACATTGGATTCATAGGTCTTATTTCAAATTTTAAAAACCCCTGTCAAATTATACGCAAAAATACGATTGTCATAATTTTTTATTTTGTGGTTCGTTATACGCCTCGTTGTCTAGAATAATATTATATGAGGTGGATAAAAAGATATCGTTCCGTATTGATAATTTCGCATTCTTTCTTTTTCGATATGAAGCAACACAGCTCCTGAGTCTCAATCAAATGCATGCACATTTAACTGATGAATTAGGCATATTTTCTTAATTGATAACGAGAGTTTTCAAGATGGTTATGGAGTAGCGCTAATAATTTGATATCTCGTCTTACCCTCTTCATTTTCCCCGGTAATCAAATGCAATATATCACAGATTTATCTATACTCTTCTTCATCACATGATTCTTGAATCGTTATGTTTCTCCGGTTTCTCATCACAGAAATCGAATAAAATCATTTAAATTGATTTATTTTTCTCTTTACTAAGGTATCCTTACAGTTTTTAATTATCTTATGAGAGAAATTGGATAAGTTACTTTAGTTAACCTTTCTTTTTCTTCATATAGTTATTTTGACAGTTGCCGCACATTTTATTCAACAAAACACAATATATTATGCTTAAGTTTTTCTTCTTTAATACTTATGGCAATAGTTTTGTTTTAATTAACAAGAGAATTTGATGAAGTTAGTTTAGTTTACTTTTCTCGTTCTTCATTTAGTTTTCTCGATTGTTGTCGCTCACCTTAGGAGAGAAAAGGAATCAAATAAATAAATTTACTTTTCTTGTTTACAAAGGTTATTTCGATAACTGCTGACAATTCTACGAGCAAAGAAAAGGATAGGTTGCTTTTCTTTCATATTTTCTCTTCCTTTATTTAGTTTCTCCGACATTTAATTAAAAAGCAGCAGTGAAAGTATTTGAAAAAAATCTCAGAAAGTATCACAAACGAGTTTCTATGGTTACATTGGTAGATGAATCATTTATATTGTGACCGATTTGACAATTATTTAACATTTTTAACGCAAATATTTTAATATCAAGATACTTCTCAACGACCTTGAGAATTTTTTTTATCACTTTTGTATTTTTGAAATGTATGAACATGAATGCGTGCGCAACACATGGCTGAGAAAGTGAGAAAGAACAATAATGTTCTATCATTCAATTTCTTGTGCTTTTCTTTTTACAACAAGATCTATCAATAATTATGAAAACCAAGAGTATTCGTCACTCAACTATCCTTCGATTTACATATATTTTTAGATAATAGAGATTGTTATTAAGCATCATTGTCAATTGTTACCAATCAACATTGAATAAATTCCTCTCTCAAATTCAATTTAAACTCATGCAAGTATCTTGGCTAAAAAAACTGACAAAAAAAGCTTGCCAGCCATTGATATGATTCTCTTTTTAGACACGTAAAATTCACATACGTCCAACTTGAACAAAAAACTGAATATATATGACCATGACACAACAATCGAACATTGTTTCACCACTGCTCACTGACCTCTATCAAATTTCGATGGCCTATGCTTATTGGAAAAGTGGAAAACATCAAGAACAGTCTACATTTGATCTCTTTTTTCGTAAGAATCGTAAGTGAATCTAATGTATTTTTTGTATGAAATTTAAAATTTCTTGTCAAATATATGTTTTGGTAGCTTTTGGTGGTGAATTTACATTGTTTGCTGGTCTTGAAGATAGTCTAAAATTCGTACAAAATTATAAATTTCAAACATCCGACATTGATTATCTTCGCAACGTATTGCCCGAATATATCGAAAAGGAATTTTACGATTTTCTATTGACAATCAACATGAATGATATTAAAATATATGCGTTGCCTGAAGGTGAAACTATATGTTCATCTACTTTCTGCTTTATTCTTTTAATTTGTCATTTAGGTTCTGTGGTTTTTCCTCGTTTGCCGTTGCTTCGTATTGAAGGACCTATTCTTAAAGCACAACTACTCGAAACAACCCTTCTGACACTTACCAATTTTGCCAGTTTAGTAGCAACGAATGCTGCTCGATTTCGTGCTGCAGCGCAACCCACTAAAAAATTTCACGAATTTGGTCTACGACGTGCACAAGGTCCAGATGGAGGTCTTAGCGCCTCAAAATATTGTTATTTAGGTGGCTTTGATGGTACGTCAAATGTACTAGCTGGTAAACTTTACGGAATTCCTATCCGAGGTAAATATCTGTGATCAAAAGTTTGTTGATTTTTGACTTTCGAAATTAGGAACACATGCACATGCTTATGTTAGCTCATTTGAAAATCTTGATGAGTTGAAAGTTCGAGAATTGTCTGATAGAATCACTGGTGAATCACGTCCATTTGCTCAATTGTGCTTGAAATTTCTCGATGAACTCGGACCAATACTCAAAATCTTTCCCGATCAAACTAACAAAGGTGAATTAGCTGCATTTATTGCCTATGCTATCTCGTTTCCTTCTGGCTTCTTGGCATTGGTCGATACGTACGATGTTCTCAAGTCTGGTGTCCCGAACTTTTTGGCTGTCGGTCTTGCATTAAATGAATGTAATTATCAAGCGCTTGGTCTTCGTTTGGACTCTGGTGACTTGGCTTATTTATCATTGGAAGTACGAGCAAATTTTGTTGAGGTCGCTCGTAAATTCAATATACCTTATATCGAACATTTGACTATTGTGGCAAGTAATGATATCAATGAGGATACGTTGCATTCATTGGAAAAGCAAGGACATGAAATTGACATATTCGGTATTGGAACACATTTAGTTACCTGTCAAAAACAACCAGCACTTGGTTGCGTCTATAAATTGGTTGAAGTAAGTGTTTGTCAATGGATAAAAAAAACCATAAGAATTTAAAACTATTCATGATTCTCGATATAGTTGAAAGGAACACCACGCATCAAAGTAAGTCAAGATATCGAAAAAGTGACGATACCTGGTCGAAAAAATCTCTATCGATTTTACGATAGTAATGGTTTAGCATTATGTGACTTGATGACTAAATTTGACGAACCAGAACCAATTGCCGGCACTCGAATGCTCTGTCGGCATCCATTTTTCGAAACGAAACGTGTCTATGTTACACCAACAACGGTACAATCTATGTATAAATTGTATTGGGCCAATGGCCAAATTCAATATGCACTACCAACATGGCAAGAAGTTCGTAGTTATGCTCAACAACAAATCGAAACAGTGCGTAAAGATCATCGACGAAATCTTAATCCGACGCCGTACAAGGTTTCTGTGACCAATGATCTCTTTTCGTTCTTACATAAACTTTGGATGAACAGTGTGCCGATTGGCGAACTTGCCTAATAACAGAATCAAAGAACAACCGAGAATTCAAGAGTTGAACAAAGATGTATTTATCAATTGTTGTTCGTGTTTATGTACTTTAGTTTTTTTTTTCATTTGTATTGCGTCTGCTACACTTAGAATGTATACTAGTTCTCTATTTTATGCCCTTGTATTCCTTCCTTTCTTGTTTTGCCTATATTGTCATTTCGTTGTTTGTACCACGCACGAAAAAAATGCATAGAATGAAAAGCAAACTATTTTTCTAGTAATCAGTGATACTCTTCCAATTGCTAATTCAAAAATTGAGAATAGTTGTATTAAAACTTCGACCAGATTATGATGAACATCAATTGACTACAAAACTATCTGTTAATCACATCAAAATGATATCAAAGTAATGCGGAGTTTTTCTGTTTGACTTCTTTATCACACACTGATGAAATCTAGAAGTCATCTCAAATCATCGTAGATAAAATCTTACATCAAACAATCGATAGTGCCATTGTGCCGAATGTAAGTAGTATAGAAATAGGTTAGATTCTCTGGTTTCACTGAATGATTTTGTAGTTTTTCATTACTCGAAACTAAACATTGACTAACGATTGACATTCACTAATGACTTCGTTGTAATCATCATTTCATAGACTCTTTGAGTTCATCACGCCTTCAATACTATCATAATTGATTGGATATGCAAAATCATTAACTCTAATCGTATATTGGGGTAGTGATTATTAGTCATCCTAAATTCGATATTTATATATTGAATCGTATCTTTCGATAAATGATCAGCTGGTCTGTGCTACTCAAACTATGCAATATCATTACATTCCGAGCTGAATACAAATCAATTTATTTTATTTTCTCTATATTTTCAATTGGTTCTGTTGAATATGAATGCATACTTCGATTAAATATCCATGATAGTTATAAAGATATGTCACATATATATCGACTAATCTAGAATTCAATCAATGAAAAAATGCAATTGACTATTCTATTGTTGCTTCGAGATCTTATTTTCTCTATGGCGACTACAAAAGCTGAATCTAGTTTAAGTATGGATGTTAACCTTCACTTCAAACACATCCATAGCCCATTTATGGATTTTAGCATTGTCTTTTTATCTAATCACAAAAGATAAGAATCGTACTTGTGAATGAAGATTGAATTTATTACTCGAATTTATTTATGAATTCGTCAGAAAAAGAAGACACGCAAACTATAACCACAAATTCACAAAACAGCTTTCACAATCTTCATCAAAGCATTCGATAAAGTTACACTGATACCGTGAATGATAAAATTGTTGATCATTCGAGTGCTCAAGATTTTCTCCTCGCTTTTTAAGCCAGGCAATTAATTTTCCATAACGTTCAAAAAAATCAAGTGGATATCCAATTTCAAGACGTATGTGCAAAGTGATTAATTTTCTAAAACTTTTTCTTAAGAGACAGATTTCGATTAGTTGCAATGGCGACAGATATTCAGCACAGTCTGTTGACATAAAATCGATATTATCGCCAAAATCACGTATGTAGAAATGCTTCAAGTCAGGTAGAAGTTCGGATAACTCAGAGATGAATGTCGAATGGTATTTAGCTGGAGATAAGCCATTAGAACCGTGACAATGAAGATGAGAGATGCGTTTTTGAAGAAGACGAGGATCGAGCCGGCTTAAGAATTTGAGACCACTTTTTGAACATCTGAATTGCAGATAGAGACAGTATACATTTGGCCCTAGTCTTAAGAGGGTTTCAAGAGCTTTTGTATCTTCTGATTTGTCATGATTGTCGCCTGTCTCAGATACATTATGAGTCAGTTTAGTTAGATTCAGCAGCTTTTGTTCAAACGTCATGTAGCTTGATTTGATCCATACGTTATCACTTTCGACTGTTGTTGATCTGTATAGAAGCTCATTAGTAAGCGGAATTGCAGTGAAATTGTGAGTACCTTTTATCCAAACCGAACGCTTCGATTTTTCAATGTCTTCATCTGTGTTTCGATAGGGTGCTGCAAAACTATTTGGAGTTCGAGTACTTGAGAAGGTTTCGTTTTCGATTTCGATTGCGTATTGGAAATCAGCTAGGTCTGGAAATGTATCTTTCACGAAGTCTATCAGTTCCGAAACGGAGAATTCAGAAGACTGCTGTTGTGCCATGATTGTCAGCGATTTGAGTATGATTTGACGAAACAAAAGAAGAAACATTTCCAACGTCTGATAATAATTTTGTGATTTTGCACTTTGATCATAATGTTCTTCCGAATACGCTGTAATTCCACCAAACTCCAAGTGTAAATCGTTCAGCGATTTTGGGATAATGAACTGTTCATTTATCTTACCGAAATGATTGAATTTCAAGATTGAGACATTCAATGATTCAACATTTGAAACACTGGGCAAAATATACCAAAGATCTATAAGTTTAGACAGATGAACTGCTACAGACGTCATATTAGGCAGTGTTGGTATGATATCTGTTTTCTCGTAAAATTTCCAGTCTGTTACCAAAGAGCAGAATAATGTAAGTGTTTTCAGTGTATTAGAAGCATTATCAGCAATAATTTTGAAGAATTCTCTTATGTTGCATCGTGGAGTTTTCAAATTGAAATGAGTAAGTCGTTTAAAGAAGCTGAGAAGTGTTCCTAACCAAATATTTATTTCACTTTCTACTATGTAAGGATCGGAGACTAGTTGTAACTCTTGAACACTTGGTAGATAGTCTTCGATACTGTAAGGTAGATTTTATAACAATTTCAATTCTCTACTGTTCATCAGTGTCAATTTTTGAATCTTTACTCCATGAACTGGCAAAACTTCGTTTCGAAATCGTTTTATAAATTTTAGTGAAAAATGACGGCTAAGGTCAAATTCTTGTTCATAGGAAGCAATGAGTTCTTCGAATCTCGTGTTTAAATTGGTGAAAGATTGAAGCATATCGAGTTTGTAAAGGTGCCGAAAAATGAATAGCCAAAGTTCGCCAGGTAAGTGCTCCATTTTACGTTTGTTGAGAGTCGAATGAACAAGCGTTTTTTGACTACTAAAATAAAGCCTTATATAAGTAAGACAAGAAAGAATGATTACATATAAATTGGAATTTCCGTTGTTTGTATTATAAGTCACGATTGAGCAATAACATTTCTATGAATTCATGACGCACAGTTCGCTTATAGGAGACATTGAGAGAAAGGAAAAAAACCGAACACAACGATGAAATTAAGCGAAGAAGACGCCAGAATATCTTATGCACGAGTCGAAATCAATAGTACGGGTGTGAATATGATGTGTGAACTGATTATCCACATTCACATCTTCTATATTTATGTCTTTTCTAATGAAGTTTAAAAACTGGTCTTACAGATAATGTTAGATTAACGTGGCCTATAAATCCTGAAAGATTCATGTGATTTGGAGATGGTCGACAAAAACGTGATAGAGATCTCATGGATTTATTGTCTGATTAAATCCTTTTTTTTGTGATATTACGTCAAATGTTGAACGAGTAAATAAATTTATATCGGAAAGGATTAGTATTTGCTTTTATTGAAATGCGAACAATCTGATAAAAACCATATATGATACGTTTAAAAAACTGTAAAAGAATACGATCTTTAGCTTTATTCAACAAACAATTTCAGTTACTTTACTGTGTGCTTTGGACTGGTTCCAGAAAAAGTTCGGTTTTCTATTTTGGTGATAAAAGATCTGTTTTACCTGTCGATTTCAACAGGATGAATCTTGACCTATTACAATAGACACTAATTTTATTTATTTTTACCATCTAAACAAATGAGAAAACATTCCAATCTATAGCAATGTTATAGTAAGTTTTCATGTAACTGTTGGTCCTTCTTACTTAAAAATATTTCAAATCAAAATAATGAAAGAAAAAGAAATGATTTAAATATCTATTAGACTAAGAAGAAATTAAAAACGCAAACATAACTTAGAGTGATATTTTTTTAAAATGATTTAAATCAATTTACTAGTGATATATTCAAATCGTATTTCTATTGTTTACTATATAGAAAAAAACGAATGAAAAAAGGCATAAATGTATTTTCTTGTAGAAATCGTATCTTATTGTTGATCGAGAAATTTATTCACTGTTAGCAAAAGTTATGTAATACAAATCGATGAATATTTCGTTGCAATAAAAAAAATGCCCATGGCGGGTCTCGATCCCGCGACTTCCGCGTTACTCAATGCTGTTTATAAGCACGGCAATCTAACCAACTGATTTACACGGGNTTGGTTTAAATACCGCGGTATATCGACGGTTTTCTTGATTACCGCGGTATACCGGCGGTGAAACTATCTATCTATCTCTCTCTGTCTATAAATATATATGATAACGTTCTTTTTGATTTAGATGATTGTGAACATTGCAATAAACAGTAAGTGTTTATTATATGAATTATTATTACTATATCATTGTTTTATTTACGACCATCTTAGTACCAAAAGAAAAAGTACGTATTCACGTAAAATATTATTATTTTTTCTTTTATCTAGAGCATTTTAAAACTGAACAAAAAAGTATTTATTTATTTAGATTCTTTTGAGCATTATTTAGTCGGAAAAATGAAGCAAAAAACACAGCTGCTTATAATCAAATCTATGATCAACTGTCTTGTGAATGTAAGAATCAACTTATATTATCCGATAGAAAAAATTAATTTTATTAAACTTTATCATTAGAAAATTGTTTTTTCTGTTTCAATTTAGGTATTACATTTTGATCATGAGTAAAATATAGCTGTTTCTGAAAAGAAACAATTTGGTAAGAGTTATGTTTCACTTAAGACGAAATAATAATACCGAAATTGAAACAAAAAAGAATTTCTCATGATAAAGTCGAAAAACTCAATTTTTTGTATGCGATATTATAGATTTACTCTTAGATTCATAAAACACCAGATCAGTAGGTTCGTACTCTGATTCTACCGGTAAAAGACGAAATCGCCGCCGGTAGATTGACAGTATACGGCTGGGGTTTTTGCAACTACCCGCAGTACCACCGGTTAACCGGCGGTAGAGCGCATATTATACCGAACAGTCAACCGGAGATATACCGCCGGTTTCTTTCCGGTTCTAATCATATGGATTGTCTTATCAATTTATTCAATATGTTCAACGTAATTTTTGATCACAAAAGGTTTTTAAAATTGTTAAAATTCGATTTTGATCATTAATTGTTTTTATTTCTCTTTTTATATTTATTAATATTTAATTACGTAAATCTTCCACCATAAAATCAATATTAGAAAGATTTTCTAATGGATAAATATGTATCTTTTTTGGTGATCTTAATTGAAATCATTCGAATAAATTTGAAATTTTGACTGAATATTCCTGCAGATTGTGATTTGGTATATCATGTAGAATAATCATTAGAAATTTATGTGATGATAAGTATACTTTATCAATATGTGTAAAAAAAACCATCACATAGTGGTTGAATTTTGTGTCATGAGTTTTTTCAATAATTCTATGAGTATCAACAATATTAAGTGTTTGTTTCGGATGAAAATAATAACCAAAATCAATGTCAATTGTGCGTTGAAAATAAATATTTTAATAATGTTGGTTTTCTTTGACATAGACCAATACCGAATGATAAGATCGGTGCTTTCTATAATTCTATATAAGAATTATCTCAGGAATATTTTCGTATTGCTCATTTTTATTCAAACTAAGAATGTTTGGTGAAAAAAATGGTACGAGATTTCGTTTACTTAACAATGACATTAGAATTTGTCTTAGAAATAAATCGGAATTGATAAATAAAATCTCGTTATAATCACATGCTTAAACTTATTCTTATTATTGCTGCTAATTAATGATATTTTCGTTGATATTTAAAAGTCAATATATTAAGAAAACATCATTGGTGTTCTACAACCTTGAATAAATAGTGGAAATGTATGACTTTGATAATCTAAATTATCAACTAATTTTTTTGATATATCTTTGATAGTTTGATTAAAACATATATCACTTCATCGAATCGTATAAAATTTATTATTTTGAATAGATGTGATTGTTCAATTACATAACTTAAAATACTTTCTAATTCATATTGTGATTTGGTCAATGAATGCGTATTCTTATAAATGACTATTGATGCATTTGATTCATCATTAAATAAAATTCATATATCAACAGAAAAAAATCATATGAGAATAGGGTGTGGATGTGGATTTTATCTTTATATCAGCATCCACACTCACACCCATTCCGGAACGAAACTCGCTTATAGGGTATTTAGCTTGGTTTTTTTGGTAACTTTCGCAACGAAAATGACGTCTTCAGATAGAACTCGACAAGCTCCATAAAAATGCACCCATTTTGAGCGTTGTTTGATGTAATATTCATGCCCATTTTCTAGAAATACTGCATCACGTAACTTCATTAGTATTCAAAAATCATGGTACTTTAAGACTATTAGGCATTTTGTACTGTCTTCATTCATAAGTCGATCCATATTTGGATATATTTGGAATCGATATCCAGTTCTGAACAAGATGGAATATTTAGTTTATTAAAATTTCAACATTTTAATTTTCTTCGAAAATTTCGGGAACCGAAAATGCAAAATGTTTTTTTTTGTTGAATTCTAGTGAAAAATATTTCATTTGATGCAGAATCCACTGCTGATGACGAATATCTGATTACCTCTGACAGCTTTTACTTTTATCCTAATCCAAATTGCGATTTTCGGAAAAAAGATGAAGTTTCGTGATGGACAGTATTTTTATTTTTTTATTCGTTTCAGCTATGCTTGTTACGAAACAACCTAATATTCTGAAAGCTTGTGAAAAGCTGAACAACTTTCATACAGAGCATTTGTGTGGTGCTTCATTTCGTAATAAAATGCTAAACTCTCTCCATAATAAAAGAATTCTATCTTTTAAAATTCCGTGATGCTTGGTGATCCCCATAAATAATTGAATGTTTGTATTTAAAAAAGTCGAATAGAAATGAGTATTAAATTACCAAAAGAAAGTTGAATAACCTAAAAGGCAATTAGACATGGTTGAAGACTTCTTAATTTATTAAAATATTTCGTTCATTATTAATATATTACTGAATATTTTTTCGTTTTTAAAAACGCTTTAATAATTATTAATAAACGATCTTCAAAATGAATTTATTCAATCCTATTACGATAGAAATCAAATATTACTATTTAAAGCAAATTATTTCAAAATTATTTGTCTTTATGTTCATCTTGATACTTTTTTTAATAAAGTCAATATCAATGACACTTCTATATATTAACAACTCTTTAGTTCTATGAAAATATATTTTTTTATTTCTAAGCAAAAAAGAGTTCACGTTGAAGTGTACGATCAATATGAATTCGAACAGACAAAACATACAGAGTCCCACCCATTCGAATTATTAAATGAATATTTTAATCAAGCCCGAATAACTGAGAAATACTCAAGGTGTTTCTTGGAATTATTGGAAAAAGAGAGCTGCTATAATGCAATGACAGCCTATGTATAAAATTATAAGACAGATAAGAATATTTCTTAGAAGAAAAATTCTACGATTAGCAAAGAGAAAGAACACTAAATTCTAGTGTAAAGAATACAAAAGCGAACGAGATGTGATAAGAGTTGCAAGGCGTCGACAAAAGATGATGCAATAGTTAAGGATCTGATTCGAAGCGGTCACTCACTACTGATAAACTCAAACAACATTGAAACTCATGAGTCATTTTATTGGATATTTGGTATTAAGTGTGCTAGCTGAAATTTCTTTATAGGTTCACTCGTGATAAATTCGGCAAACTGAAATGATTAGACTGTCGTAAAGATATTTACTTGTAAAAGTTCTTTGAAGAAATTGCTTCATTGAGTGTTCTATTTAGTTACTGAGCGAGAATGATTTGATACCGTGATCGTTGATGGCAAAAAGTCAATACGGCTCAATGGCACTTACACCATCAAATAGTTCTTTGCACATGCAATTTGTGGCTATCAACTAACATAGAACTGTGTCGATCCTTCCATCTTGTGAGTTATAGCCACATTCGTTGTGAGTGGTGACTCTAGCTTCTACTTGAAGTATTTCATCTTTGAGTAATCCGACTTTGTATAGATTGCCAGTGCTATCTATCGGTTCGTGACCAAGTTTGTGGTAAGTCACTTGAACTTGAACATCGCCCTCGGGTATAGGCATTGGTGAGATTAAGACGATCCTCACTTACACTCACATCCTGAGTACTGTTTTTTACCTTTTATATAATAGAATTATCAGCATGGTCTGCCGGTGAAATATTGGAAAACTTTGCTGCTAAAATGAGAACAACATAATGAATATTAGAAATGCAACGACAAAAAAACTCGATGCAATATAATTTAAAATATCGAACACAGTAGTATTCAATATTATTATTTGATGGCTCAATAATGTTCTTACAACAATTACTGTTGTGCTAGGAAAGATCTGAATAATGTTAATTGTAGCAATCTTTACCAAGCAATATTTATTTTGACGTAAAAACAGTATAATATATTTATGAACTAGAACAACAATGAGAACAATTCATTAACCATTGATTTATTCTCAAAGTGTTCTTCTCTACGGTTTTGAGTTTCGATTTATTCAATATAAATGATATTGCTTGCTGTGTACTCAATTACCTAATGTGTATGACATCAGTACTAAGAATATATTTTCCATGTTAAGTAGTATTTGATCAATAAGTGAGTACTATTTATAATGCCAATGTTCAAAATCCTTGAAGTTCTATTCATGTTTTTAGATGAACAATTATTTTATTCACTGTACTCAACACTTTCTTCTTGATTTTATTCATGTAAAGAAACTTGGTTTTGTAGAATATTCAATATGCTCTGTTAATTATATGAATGAATCAAGTTTCTATTTGAAGAAATTTCAATTTTTATTCATATTTTCTTCCAATTTTACAGTTAAACAGTTATCTACTCAAATGTGTCACCCAAACTCAATGAATTACGATATAAATCAATAAAACAAAAGTTTGCATTAAATGATCGTTAAATGTTTATTTGCGAACGAAAGGAGCACGATTATCATTCATGTTAGTAGCCATAGCTCTTTTGAATAATTGTCTATGACGATTGACTCCAGGCAACGGCAACCAATCATTTGATGGCACATAAGATTGACCAATATACGCTAGGAGTTGAGGTCGAATTTGATTCTGAAACTCTGAAGTTCCATATTGTCCAGTTCCAAAAGCACTAGGAGAATTTTGATAGCCATAGTTTAATGGATATGGATACGGTTGTGGATTGTAGCCGAATTCTACGGAAGAGATTATTTTCTTCTACTAGCTCAAAGACTCTATTCCATAGTTATTCTTTACTCACGGGAATTGTATGGATATGCTTGATTATTTGGTATATACCAATTATTACCTAATGGATACCAATTATTTCCTACTCAAAAAAAATGAAAAAAACAATGTATTAAAATAAGAATTTGCGATGATGCATCAAAAACTTAAATTTTGGAAGACGAAATAGCCATTTTAAAAAATACTCGTAATCATCCTGAAAATGTTGTTTTTTTAACTCCCTATGCATTACATACTAAGATTATTCGTACCTGAGCCAATAAAGCCTAGTCCATAACCCACATTTGGATAAGAGCCTAATCCATATGCTCCGAAATAAGAGCTTGACATTGATGCTTGACGTCGTTTACGGCGTGCTCGACTATCAACCACTGAAGCTCACATATTTTTAGTGAGAGAATGGGGGGGGGGGGATTTCTTGTCACAACTTACCAACAGCTGAGACTATCAGTAAAAATACGATCACATTAAGTAGTGACATTACTTGTATAACGTAAAACGTATGTGTTTGTTTGTACTTGAGACGATTGCAATGTGCAAAATTATATATATATATACATATATATATTGGAGCAACAGCATGCTTGATTTCTTTGATTTGTTCTTTCTCTCTCTCTTGCGTTCTACATATATTTGAATGAAAACTAGTTACACAGGAGAAGCCAACGATTACCTTCCATTTTTTTTCTCTTGAAGGGCATAATGCAACGTTGAAACGCCTTTTTTTTTCTTTAATATTAATAAGAAGTATAAAGCAGCACTATACACATTAGCATAGTCAAGATGAATAATATATGTTCTTGTCTGTCACAACAAAATGACTGTGTGTCAATAAGTGCATATATTTCTTGTCTGTAAATCATTTGCATATCAATGTATACTGTATATCACGTTTTTACTTAATTTAAATGTGGATTTGGATTAACAGAAGACTTGCATCTACGCTTACATCCTCTATAATCATTTCCTCTGTAATGGTAACTGATCAATTAAAAATATAATTTTAATTTGGCAAGTTTTCTGTTAAGTTTTAATCTAATTAACTTTCTCTATAAGAAAAAAAAACGGGTGAAAATTTAACCAATAGCATTTCCTCAGTGAGAATAATGTTACATTACAAACTCGACGAATCAAAATGTAAATATATATATATACATGAAGCACTATGAAGTTGATTTCAAATGACATACATATATTACGTTCATTTACTATATGATGAATGAAAATAAGTTACCTATATTGAAAACAAAGTCATAAAATGGAGGATGAACATGTAAGAAAAAAATTTCTTAATTCAACATGTCCATGACACATATTTACATAACAATTGGAAAATGTTTGTTTTCTTGAAGTACCATAATAGTTGCAGGAGAACATTAAAATCTTTAGATAATCTCTTGAAAAACAATTAGTCATGACTTATGAAAACTTGTTCAAAATAACGATTCTGTTTGAGTAAATTTTTTTCTGAAAAGATCAATACATGGTCTATTAGAAAAAAACAGCAACAAAAGATACGGCTCTTTTTTGTTTGACTTATGTTGAACTACATAGACACAAATCATATTCGAAATACACTATTTTTACCAACATCCCGCCTACACTTCACCGCACAGTAAAGGGAGAAATACAAATATCATTTGAGTTAAATCCATTTTCGTTTGATGTATGTTCCACAATCTCTTTTTGGTCGCTGTTCTTCCAATTCGTGTTCCTCATCTAACGATAATACAAGACGTTCTTTTTTTATCGCTATATTACTCTAATTGCATAAGTAAATCCTTGCAAATTTCTATCGATGAAGTAATATGCAATAGTTTGTAATGTGTAAAACAAAACTTCTTTTTATTCGATTAGTTTTAGATTGAAAATATTCTTCTCTTAATTTCTTGAATCATCGCTTTCATACACCAACGTTGATGAATGTGCTGTACTGTTGAATATTTCCAAATACAAAATTTTTTCTTATCTTTGCATTCTGATCAAAATTTGAAAATGAACGATGTTTTCTTAAACAATTTACCAACGTGACTGTAGCTTGATAACCATTCGGAAATTTAAAACCATTTTCTCTCGTACGAATTTCATCTAAAAAAAGGACAAGAGGATCAAATTGTTTGCTATAATTCAGTAGTGTAAAACTTGAATTCAATTGAAATTTCAAGTTTCAACTATCAAGTGTCTAATTTTCAATTTTCTATTTTCAAGCTTTCAAATACTCGATACATATCAAACCTAAAAGTTGAATTCAACTCTTCAATAATTCTACGAAGCGATGTTGTGTGTGCCGCTTCGTGACCAGTCCTTTCGTGGCAGGCATACCTGGCGAGGTACTCTGTGTATATTGCCGCGTGACTTCTACTATTGGCTTGCGGAAAGTTGATGAAAAGCATTGTACGTTAGCTGGATTAGTTTGTATACCCGCTTATATCTCCTCTATATCCATCAACTGAAAGTGAAACAAGCTTCCAGAATTTCAAATATTGCAGCATACGCTTACCCCCAGTGAATATTTGTAGGATTATTGAAAAGTTGAATTCAACTTTTTGGGGTTGACATGTATTAAGTATTTGAAAACTTGAAATTTCAATTGAATTCAAGTTTCTAGTTTAACATGTATGCAATCAAGTCTTACTCGTGCAGTCAAAATCAGGCAAGTACCTATATACGAATGAGAAAGATGAAAACGAAAACCTCAACTCCGATTCTGTCTCCGAATATATGCGTATTATATCCTCAGTAATGTGTCATAGTTGAAATGCAAGAGAAACATCTGTTCACTCGAGAACACTTACTTTTGAACGACTTGCCCATTGATACATTTTTTTCGGAGGGGATCGTAGATTACTTTCTTCTTGCCACAACGACATGAATATTTTTCAGTTTTCGACATCGATCATATACTTCATCCTTCGATACTGCTGTTCGTTCAATATTCGTTTCAGTCTGTTCTAAACACTACACAACAATTTCAAACAAAATATTTTTCATTGTTAATGAACCGAGTACCTTTCTTTTGGGTCGCTGTCATACTTATATGAGAAAAAATCTGTAACGCTAGCTACTTATATGATTGTAATTGCATATTTTCCATCCATTTGTCATGACTTGTTCAGTAGCACACACACATCAATAGATACAGAGAGACGCCACGATATCTTCTTGTTTCATTTTCTAGCTAGTATCTTGTCGACTCTCGATACGTGTAATTCTTGATTCCTTGCAGCTCTCTATGGCTGGGTTGATTTTAATATGACACAAGAGACCGTGTACGAGACTGACAATAGCCTACCGAGATTGAAAGGACAATACAAAGACACTTATAAAACAACACAGAGGAGAGTTCATTGAGTTGATATTTTTCGAGACATACATTTTAGATATTATTGATACAGACTGTTCGATTTGACGTTTGCAATCAAACGATGTTCAAGTCCACGAGATAAGATAAACACGACAAGTCTACTGTTTGTAGAAGCATCTGACAGGTGAAAAATAGAACGAAAAAATGAAACACCAATAAAATTTAAGAGACGGTGTCAAATCAGAGAAACTATTTCAAATGAGGTCGAGCTTTTTTTTTCTCATTGTCAATTGCATAATGAGCAAATGTCTATCTTGATAAAGATAAAAAACTTCAACACCGTGTTTATTTTCGATTTGTTAAAATGACTTGAATATAAGAAGTCACAATAAAAAGAAAATGTTTCGAAATCTCCGTTAGATTAGAAGTTCATATCATGATACAATATCTTGGTACATTACTACTATTATAGTCGTTTTCTTTTGAGAGACGAATTATAAATAAGAATATTTTGAATATTCCTTATCATTAATTCATTCTTTTAAAGTATCTTCTATTGAAAATAAGCCTAAATATTATCAATTACCTGGTCAACAACGATGGAATTTAGATTGTTTCTATGATGAACGATATTTGTGTTATTGTATAGATATACGTAGGCGCCATCATCAATGAAAGATATTCGCAGGAAATGTGCTATTTGTGACCTTTTTCGACTAAACGTCTGTTTAGAATCGCTCGGACTGCCTAGTCGGTGATCGATCTACCCGAGAGACGGACGACCTTCGTACATGACGCATATATATACATGTCTATATTGAGAGGAAATGATTATGTTCGAATGAACTGCACACATCGGGTTAATATGAAATGCTTGAAGAGGGATTCCGTCCGTCAATGCTCTCGTCGTTCACATATGTGAATTTATTCTTTCTGTTTAGCTCAAGGGTGCATAAACAACTATTGTAACGATGACCATAATAAAATTGACTGATATCGAGAATAATGTGCTGGTGAAGAATCAGATTCGCTTTAGATTAGTACCAACTAGTGATAATATCAATCATGAATTTCATCGATCCAAAAAATCGATGATTCTTTGAATTGTCACTAAGCTCTGTGCATTTCTATAAAACAGGCAACTTTCCACAAGAGAAAAACATGTGAAGTCTATCATTAGAAACATCTGTATGGCACATGTTTTTCTAGATTTTTATTCTCGATTCTCCAAAAATAAATGTTGGCTGTCGACGATGCGAATAGTACCAAGTCAGATCAATTGATTCCAGATTTTGATCAGGTAATCATTGAAGTTGTGTCGATCGAAATATAGACATTAGAATGATCTACTCTAGAGAATAATAGTAAAATTAATTTTCAACGTAGGCAAGATGTTTCGAAGAGTTCTCCTTGAAAGCAATTTTTCTTTTATTTCAAACATGGAATACTAGAAATGAACAAAAAAAAAAAAAGAATACATTGAATTTTCAACGTCGTTTATGCTTGACTATTTTTTGGATTAAAGTTTCGTCTGTTGATGCTTGACAGATGACATAGACAAATAGTACACGAAAAGTGAAATTTTACGAATGAAAGAAATTAGATCGAAGGACTAATATTTTAGCTTTGTAATAATACTCCTTGTAGACACAATAAAGTCTTAGATATTCCTATCCGAAGGGTCAATACTGAATTTACGACGGATCATACTGAATGAAGATGCGTTGAGACTTTGCCTTTAGATGAAAAAACTTCAAGTGCACATCGTATAAAGTGAGATTATTATGGTACAGATGCTGCAGCGAAACTAGTGAATTAATATGATGAATTCATTGTGAACAATTGTTCCGCATTTCTGAATCGAATTTCAAAGAGTTGACTAGTTTCTTAATTAAAAGGTCTACCTTTTTTCAGTTCGTATTTTGATGTGTACCTTCTATTTAACCTAGTTCAATTCTTTTTATTGAAGAGTTCGAATAACCATCAACCCATGACACACAACGAATTACTTCGATTGAATCGGTGGATAAACAATTTGCCACAAAAGCCTTTACAAACTTTAGTACAGGTAAGACATTAATTTAGAACATTTTTCATTTGTTTCTTTCATTTGTCCTATTCGTAGATCATCATCCGTGAAGAACCAGTATTGGCATCATCAGATCAAACTGAATTGGAAATTGACTTGGAGAAATTCAAGATTTCAACTCTACGTCAACTTGAGACATTCTGCAGGAACTGTTTTGAAAAAAATTCATAGTACCAGCATATTTTTTGTATCAAAAGTCAATTAAATAAATAAAACCCATTGACAAATCTGCACGAATTTGATTCATTAGTTGTCTATTAACGATACCAGTATTGCATGTTACAAACGTATTCTTTCCGTGGTTTACTTCCGCGAAAATACTCATTCTCAGCAGACCATTTTTAATACTATCAAATACTATGACCAAGTTGACGTTCATTGCTTCTTCTATCACAATCCACAGTTTTACTAGCAAGTTCAACTGTCTGAAAATTAGATTTTTGGTCTTAGAAGGGTATTCTTCGGGAGCGAGGGTGTTTTTATTAAATTCATACGTTTTCGTATCATCAAAAGGCATGAAATAATAATAGAGAAAAAATGAAAAACTAAACTATATATTTTCATTCAGCGTCTATAAGTTTAATTCTTGATTCACTAAGACAAGATAAATCAAAACAGATTTTAGACGATGATATCTACCAAGCAAAAATCGTCTTCCTTCGAAAGTTTTCTTCATGATATGATAGCAATCGACCATGAATTTCATCTTTTAAAGATAAATCTTGAAAATGAATAAAAATCAGACTTTTATGGCACCATTTAAAAGTGTAATAAATTGAATATCAATTACTACGAAAAGATCTAACACGATTGAGAAAGTTCTTGACTTGTGAGGTATGAACACAATCATCAATATGAAGATTATTCACAGCAGACGTAACTCTACTTGTATGTAAAAATGTTACACTCTTACGAATATCATTATTCCTCAAACATGAGCCTTGATTTATATTGTAAACTATTGAATGCGCCCCTAGTCGTATAACTGTAAGTGGACGTCTCTCATCTATATAAAATGTTCTATATATAGAAACATTTTTAGTGATTCTTCAATGATGTGTTTTTGATCTTGAAGGATGATGCCAATTTCAAGTATTCGAATTTGTTCATATGAATTATATATCATTTGTTCTATTTTCTTTGTTGTTATTTCATTTTTAACAGTGAATTGACATAGTTCATGTATTCTACATCTGATAGGTGTAAACTGTAGTAAATCATCTAGAGATAAAAATAAAACGAAAGAGTTTTCTATTTGTGAAATTTTATCTTCACGTTCTAATGTATTGATATGAGTAAAATATATGGTAATGATATGAATTGCTCTCATATTAAGTTTAGTTATATTTTCGTAGAAGATCGTATCATTAGGTACTGTAGAGTAAATAGATGTTTAGTGGGAAATATAACTTTATTTCGATGCAAAATAAGGTAGAGAAAATAGATATCTATCTTGAAAAGCCACAAATCAGTGTTTTTCTTTCAGCGAAACTATATTCGAAATGAATCAAGCATTTGTTCGATTAAATCAAGATATACATCAAATGTAAAATGGAATGTTTTGAGTGAGAGTGTGGGTAGGTTGATTTTCTCTTCAACTACACCTATATTCACACTCCTACAAAGTACAATTCGTTTAACAGCTCGAGTTTTTTCCATACTCGACTTGTAGTTGCTGTTTTACAATGTTGACTAATTTCAATTTGGCCATTAGTAAAACTATTCGAATCTGGCTTCTATGGACATAGGCATTTTTTTTTGGTAACATGCTGTATATTTCTTTAGTGATGATTTGAAATAGATGGATGGGCACAGTGTATTTTTAGGATTTGTATGGCAAGGTAGAAGTTTAAAAGAAAATTTTCTATTTACTTTTGTATCTTAATCGATAACTGGTTAGTTATAAGAATATTCTTCATTTTTCGATGTTTTCAGTAAAAATAAAAAGAATCATATACGTTTTGATCAAATAGAGATATACCTTTGACTGCAAATGAAAAGTCTAAAAAAGCAAAGAAAAAAAAAAACTTTTAAAAACATTACCGTTTAAAGATGTATGAGAACAAGATGAGAGAATATTTATGAGATTGCAGCAAAACTTTTAAAGATTGAATCTGATTACTATTGAATTTATTAAATCAATCTATTCAATGCTCTATTAGCAGTTTATCTGTGCCATATAATAGTTAATCGTATGTGATTGTTAAGAAGAGATTTGTTGTTGTTTTTTTTTCATAAGAAAAAGGTTATGGTTAAAGTAAAAGACTTTCGAAAGGATATTATACAAATTTGTTTATGTGTTATTATCGAATAGTGCATCGAACAGTAACAATACATTTAGACTTTTACAATCTTTTTTTCAATTTTCATTTATTCAAAATTCTGTTGCATTGCTCTAAATGTTTATGGTACTGTTGTTATACTTGGTTTCTATCGATTTATATTCATGTTTTCCAATGGTAATCTGAGATAATGTCATAAAAAAGCTATATAATTTTGCTGAAAATTAATAAAAAAAAAAAGACTTTATTTTTAATTTATATGTTAGAATAGAAAATAAAAACTATTATCTGGAAAAACTTCATGTCACATATCAATTGATGCTATTCGACGAGCTGATTGCAAAGACCATATTGTTTTTGTATTGAAATATCATTATATTGGGAAATATATGAATTTAAGAATCAAAATTAGCAATACTAAAAAAAAAACATACGAGAACATTATGCTGACTAATACGAGTTGACTCAATGATTAATAATAAATCTCGCATAGAAGAATATTCAGTTAGAGTTTGTAGTCAATTAGGTTAAGTCATTTTGTAGCCTTAACCAATACGAAATATTCAATATTTGAAAAGAGTATGTGGATATGTTGTGTTGGGTTAAGAAAATGTTGATCTACGTCCACATCCTCAAGATGCATCTCGCTAAACTTATGTTTGTATTTTCGTTTAGGCACAACTTTCTTTGTTAGCTACCCATCTACACTGACTAGACTAACTTTATAACTGTGCATCTAGTTGTGTTTAGAAAAAGTAATGCATCCGAACGCGTTTATTTATATTAATATCCACAAACTATTAACGTTCGCTAAACTCATTCAGGAAAAGTAGTAATGTATTCATTTACCTACATTTTCAGCATATGTCAATGCAAAAACGTGTTGGAACGCAGACATTTACAAGACAAATTTTATATACTATATTATGTAAATAGCAAAACTTTATATATACATCATCACAAAAAGCGTTTTAGAAGGAAAATATCTCAGTTTTATATTTTCTATATGATCAATTTATTTGTGATATTAATAATTACAGACACGCTGTACTTTCTATTTGAATAATAATTCATGTCGAATAAACATATAAAACTGCAGATGATTTTCTTTCTAAGAATTATTCGATAAAATTATATCACATTAAAAGTAGTCTTCAATTTGCCTGAATGAATCACCATTATTCGATCTTGTGTTTGTTTTGTCATTCTCATTTAATGTGGTTTGTACGTAATTGAATAAAGTGAAAAAGAAAGAGTTCTTTAATATTTCTGTAAAAAGAAAAAATAACGAAAGAATGTTGTATGCTTGTCGATATACTTAATTCACGAATCATTATGTACAGCAGATTCTTTGTTCAGTAAGCATTATTGTTTTAGCATTTTTCGATCATAAATAAGTTTGAATATTCTCAGAATTGGAGAAGAACTTTTCCTTCAAGAATAATTTAATTTTTATCACAGTTTTTGAAATATCTGATGTATCTTGCTTTAATAATTCAAAAGAGAATATATAAATTAATGTCGTATTTCAGTTATATGTGAAAGATATCTTGATTCTTATGAAAGAGTATGATAATTTCTTCAATAGAATAATATTTTGAAATTGTATAATGTTCTGTAATGGATAGTTGTATGCTACTTGATTAGTTTTCTACTATCTGACGAAGTGTAATCACGTCACATTGAACGATATGTTCTTTGTTTTTCTTTTTTATTGCGTTCGTCAATAACAGGTTTCAATGCAGTTTTTACGAGATTCAAATATAATACATCATGGAACTGTTTTTAAAAATAAAGGCCTTTTTTTGAGGACAGAAATTGTTTGTAAATCAGTAACGCTAGTTAAAGGATTCTGTTCTGTAAAGATGGTCTGCCTATAAAGACAAGCAACAAAAAGAAAAGATCCAGGGTCCTAGCAATCCGACGGAGTCGACAAAGTCCTATGAATCGATCGCTTGAATCTGTTAGAATACACTATGACCTCTGTCTAGAACGTACGTTTTCCTGTTTAGTTTGATTAATTTCCTGAGCTTCTGTAAATTCTGGCGGATTCTGGTCAAACTAGTAAATCCTGATGAACTTCGGTGAGTAGTTTAAAAGTAGGTCTATCTTTAAATGAAGGAGAACAGGGAGAATTTCTTCCTCGAAACTAGAATACAACTGATAACTGTATTTTCAAAAATAGTCGGTGTCTATTGACGAATGGGCACATAAAGACATTGCTAGTAACATTATTCAGATTTATGATAAATTCAAAATAGAAAAGTATCAGAAATTTTAGAAACTATCTCAGTATTTGGAATTGAATATGCTGAGGGTGTGGGTGTGAGAGAAGAAAATATCAATATCCAAACAAACACCCACACCCATACCTTTTTGTTTCGTAAAGAATAGTAACCGTTATGTTAACTGTATTTAGTTATTTATTCTTTGATTTGAATACGATATTGACTATGATTCATTTCTGATAAACGCTAACATTGTCTCAAAAATATATTCAATATAATAAAGTATTACATTTGATTATTTGTGAGCAAAATGCTAGCAAAGTTTTCATCACATAAATTTTCTTCTTATAGATGTTTCGTTTAAGAACGATGAGCTTCAATAAATCGCAATTCAAATTGATTCATTTGAATTTAGGAACACACCTTTGTTCGTTGATATATAAATTCATTAGGATGGCTTGGAGAATGAGATACAATGTCATAATAAGTCCCAGACCATCGATCAAGAAATGTCCAAAAAGTTGATAAATTCTTTCGACCAAATTGATGATGATAATAATGACCAACTGAGCCGTGCCATACATACCGACCGACATAACTCCAATTATGAAACATCCATGGAAAATCATAGCCTGAATGAATATTTGTTGCCACAAAATGAATAAATAGAATAGATATAAGACGAGTTAAAGGATCCATTTGTAGAGGAATCATGGCTACTAAGAAGAATATCAGTCCAGCAAAAGCTTCGAATGCACTGGCATAAAAACCATTCCAAGGATAAATATATCTTTGACAACTAGCATGATGTTTCGCATGTGCTCGATGAAAGAACGAAGCAACACGTGGATGAAGATGAGTAACATGATGAAATAAATGAGTGAACACATCAAAAATGATGGTATAACCTACTGATTTCCATAGCAATGTCCACAAAGTTGGTACTTCATATACGTGTAAATTTGGTTCATATAAAAATATGTCGTACAATATCAATGGACCAACATGCCATTTAAGCATATTAAGAAATGATGATTTAATGTAGTACGCAATTTCTTGTGGCGATGTATGCAAATCTCTACGAATTTTCCATTGCTTCCCAGGTAAATACTCAAGTTCAACAAAAGCATAGATACACATTAAAATTAAACACCATACAATACGAATCAAATGTTCAGGCAACAGATGATTCATATACCAATGTTGTTTCGATAACGTGATATGTGCATATTCAAGAAACGATGATGATGATGACATTTCAGACCTTTACTCTACTTAATAGTTAAGAAGAAAAAAATGTAATGATATCTTATCGCAATACATCATATTTGTTATAGAACATCGTCATCAACTGTCATACTTCTGACTAATAGAAAGAAAAGTAAAATACGCAATTTTTTCGAATATTATCTCGAAAAGTTAATTATAACTCTGATTAAAGGTTCACAATTTTTTGTAATATATCGTTTGAAATAGTTAAGAAATAATATTGATATTATAAATACATATTAAAATATTTTTTACATATGAATGATTAGATATCTGTATAAACAATTAGTTTTTCCACTTCGAAACAGTGTTAAATTTGACCATTGAGATCGGAGATAGTAATGGAAGTCCCCCAATTAACAAATCTCTTTTGAATCGAGATTATATTCATTATGTAAATTCTAACGATTTATGAATAGCTTGAAAAGTGATCATGTCTTTAGCTTGTTACGGCTACTTCTCATTTGCGATCATAAGTTAAATAACATTTTAAAACATTATTACGACTTTTAACTTCAGTCAACATTAAAGTCAAGAAAATAAATTGTTTTGCTTTTTAAAAATGACTAAAATTACTTATTTTAATTTTGAAGTTTTCACTGATAAGTGATCATATTTTAAAATTTTAACTTTCAATTAAAATTGTATGTAGTTTAGCAAGATGTAGAATTCGCTCTTGTTTTCAATAGAAATCTATCAGAATTTAGGAGGACCTACGAGTGTGGTCCCAAAGTGCTATCTCTGATTCTGAGGAATGAATATATTTAACTTACCCCAAAGTGGTATAATTCTTAAACTTCACGCGACTTAATGTGGAAAGTTTTATTAGCTTTGCACGAATTATGAACTTTGGTACTTGACCAAAAAGAATATTTGATGAATGAGAGACGTAGTTTCCAATAAATTGTTTTAAAAAAAGATGAATGAAATATTATGCTATTTTACACAAGGTTACTGGAGTACTCTGACCGCGTAAAGTGTTTTTTTATAAGAAAAACATTTTTGAACGTAGTAACATCATTGATTAGGCTTAAGTACGAAGAATCTTAATCAAGATTGTTAGTGACGAACGATTTATTTACTTCTTGTATTATGACAAAGAACACTTATACAGCACGAGGAGGGAGTGTGAATTTGGCTAAGATTAGTGATCAATGTCGAAGGGAGCTTTCAAATCGATTTTATCACAATTCAAAAAGTTTATTCAATATGTATTGAAAGTATGGCCTTGGTGCATGTGTGTTTGAAGAGAAGTCGAACATCAAAATCCAAATTTTAACTTCTCTCTTTTCACATCTTTTTCTATATTTTTCCTTGTCGCATGTAGATATTTGTAGATTCAAATTAGTTTGTTTCCAATGACTATTTCAATTCATCTTATAATACGAACTGAATAGTGTTTCAATACGAAAAAGGTTTATGGCATTCATACTGACAATTCTGTCTCACAAACTCTAAATAAACATGACATTTAATTAAGAAGAAAAATAAGAGTACTACGTAGTTTAGCGCAATCTACCAATAAGAGCTGAATAGATTGAAATGTCGCAACCATATATCAAGGGAACTCTAGATCTTTCTAAACTAAATATAAAATTTTATTGAAAACAAGAGCAAACTCTACAAATTTTACTTGTTCACAATGAACAGAAAATTTCAAGTTTCGAATTATTTTTTAAGAAATGATTTTTAATAAATTAAAGAACGAAAATTTGAAGCCGTCAATTGTTTTTAATCTGAATAATTCAAATCTATTGAATAATGAAGTAAAATTGAATTAAATTTAACAATCTTTGGATTTTTGGTTTTATGTTCTCAATCAGAGGATGAGGATAAAAACAATGTCTGAAACAACAGTATTCAATCACAAAAACGAATAGAGTTACATTCGTGCAACGATTAAAACATTTGATACAATTCATGTAAACTAAACTCAAGCAGATTAATGTAGTATATTCAAAATCATTTTTTTCTTTATAAACATGTAAAATCAAGTTTTATATGATGAGAAATAGCTTCTTTTTTTTTAAACAATTCACTTGTACATATCAAATCATCTCTTAGCTTTATCTAGTACTTCAGTTTGTACCACTTCATCTAAATACACTTGCAAGTATATCTTTATCGGGTTAGTGTTTAAGGTCAAGTGGGTCGAATCTCAATGAACGTTACTTATCTCTGAAAGAATTTCAAATTTATTTATTCGTTCTATCTACTCTTCGTAGTCTAGATAATCGTGAGTATGGGTATCAGTGTGGAAGAGGATGCAAAAGTGCAGTACATGCACAGTGATCCATATCCCTCCTCGGTGTTGAGTACAACAACCCATGCCAAACACTAAACCAATAATGAACAAGGGCTATTTGTATCTGATTTCAAGAATCTTTTTCTCTGTAAGATAAAACCAACTCAAATATGTCATCTTTGAACTCATACAGAAGCTTAGTTTTGCTAGGTACCCAATGCAAACATGACATTACCATTATCTAGTACGACGACTACAAGCTCATGTATTTCTACGATACTGATTCAAAAAGAATAGTTAACTGAAGCTGAAAAAAACGTCGTCAATAAAATTATCGAACTGTTGGCAATGATGAGCAAAAATGTAATTGTTTGTATCAATATGACAACACATCAATAAAATCAGATATGATCTAAGAAAACTTAGTTGTCAATCCATCAGCATTCATACGAAATATTTCTTTATTTCGCCTGATACATATCTCTATATGATCTGTTATTCAAAACGAATTGCTTATGTTCGTATTCCACTAGAAGAGCTTCTTCGTAACTTATGTCAAGGTGAAAAAGTTTGTACAGTGGTCGTGTACAAACTCTTTTTTCTCAAACTCTATGAATTAAAATATCATTGTTATAAAGCACGATGGTTGATCGTATTTGATGATGCAAGTCTATAACATCCTTATCTAAGTATAAATGCTGGCAATAAAACACAAACAGGACTTGTACACATTCTACTGTGGGTATGAATGTGAGTGTGGATATCGATTGAGATGACAATCACACCTACACAGCACACATGCACGAACATCTTGCACTCCACATTCGGGACCATCAGATCGTGACCAAAGAAAAGAAATTGTTTGATAATAATTTTTATGTTAGGTATGAAAGAATAATTGTATTCGATTCTTTGTATTTAGAGTTTTCTCGTCTTCAAAATGATATCATTATAATACTCGAAAATACATTAATATACAGCAGAAAAAAACTGCAATACTAACATGAAAATTATTATCGAGCAGTATTTTTTCTTTGGTGATGATCCAATGATGAAGTTGGACTCTACTTCGCCGATCGCTTCTTCCCTAAACCATCTTGCTGGGCCCTCGCTATCAAGGATCGATTGCTTTTAACATGAAAATCGATAACTCGTCACAATATTTTTTCATCTATTTTCTACAGTGAATTTTTCATGTCATTGAATCAAAATTGAACAACTTACCAACGTTCGAGAGATTTCTGTGATTTTATTATCTCATCAATCAACTAGTATAGATTATTTTTATGAATTCGATAAAGTCAAATACTTCTACTCATTAACTTGTTCATAGTTGTGTCAATATCAAGTTATTTTTGGAAAATTTCCAACGATATTTCGAGGAATATTCACAAGCTAAAAGAGTCGCTTCTATTGATCAGTGGCAAGTGTATCATTATCGAAAAAAATCGTTCTTATTTCATAGCCAAAACTCATATTCTAAAGTGGATTACAATCTCTGTTTAGAGTTAGTGTTTCACATGTTTTGCAGGATCTTAAAGTTTGAATTAGTTTATTGTGCATGCATTAACTTGCGGCTTCTTTACTCCATCTTGATAGAAAGCACCATTTTCAAGTTCATTTTGTGAAGTGTTGACTGCATAAAGGATAGAATCGGCACCAAGTTCAGCAGGACGAGCTCCAGGTGCATGATTAGTAATATCGGTAGCACAATAACCAGGACACACAGCAAGTACCAAAACGTTCTTAATAGCCGACCATTGACGTGCTTCGATTCGAGTGAGAGCTGTGAGAGCCGCTTTAGATACGCCATAAATCAACAACGGCGATTTAGGATCATAACCACTTTTATCGAGTTTGTCTTGTTCAATAGCTGAAAGAAAATCTTTAACAAGTTGATCCAATTCTTCTGTTGTCAATGTCGGGGACGAATATTGATTCTGAAGATCGCTCGATGCCTTATACAAAGTTCAAGAACCTACTTCGCTTGACACATTCACAATGCGAGCATTTTCTCCCAAAAGAGGAAACATATACTCATTGACCATTTTGACACCATAATAGTTAGTAGCAAATATTTCCCGAGCTACATCGATCCTTCTTTCTCGCTTCGCTATGCCTGCATTATTGATGAGAACATTAAGATAACCATTATATTTTTCTTCGATTTCTTTAGTAGCACGAGCGATACTATCTTGTGACGAAGTATCCAATTGAAGTAAGTGTACATTCGGCGGCGAACCCAATCGAGAAATTGCTTCTTGTCCTCGTTGTAGATTACGACTTCCAAGTAGAATAATAATCTTATTGGGATCAGTTGAAGCAGCCACAAGCTTCTTCACAACTTCAAAACCCAAACCTCTGTTAGCACCAGTGACAAGAACAACGGTTGGTTTCATGGTTGATGACATATCTATAAAGTCAAGCATTACACCATAACCTCTCTACAGTGAGTTGTTTTAGAAAATGGTTCAGATAGATTCGAGTGTTTTTCTCTTATTTTCTTTATAAAGCATGCATTTATACTCTCTATATGTTATGATGATAAAAAATGATTACTTATGCATAACGATATACAAATTTTTATCGATCCACATTTGTTAATGCAATTTAAAATCGTTTAGTGCAGATTGTGTCTAGGCGTTACATTGCATTGTTTTTCGTAGTCTGGAATGAATCTAGAAATAGTAGATATCGTCCTTGACATATTTAGGCTACGCTCATGAGCACATTTTCACTTTAATTATACTCATCACACAGCGCCCTCACCCTCACGCAATATTATGTGTGTAAATTACACCAAACAGTGCGGAGTGTGTTTAAAGTAAAAACGTACTCACCGATTATATGTCATCTAATTAGTTCTGTGATCTTCAGACCACTTCGAAATATCATTTTAGAAAATGATTAAACTGAAATAACAATGTATTCAATCAAGTTTCTTTCAGTTTTAGTGAAATATCAATATGTGCGAATCGTTGATCTAAATCGAAATATGTATCAAGATTGTTAAATAATTCTTACGATAAGATAACTGGCTTCTTAATGAGTGTATTTCATCGAAGAAAATGGATATATACTACTAGTATAAAGATAAGATTTTTCGAGATAGTTATTTTATTTTGTCGAAAATACGAGGAGAATGATCGGGACCAAAGGAGAAGAATGCAATATTGTATCTACAAACAGAATAGTGTATATTTAAGCTGAAAACGGTAAGATATAAGGTAGAGTGGTATAGTCAAGCACATGGTATGACTATATTAACACACATGAATATGGTTCTTTTACTTTCTTTTTTTTCTTTTAGAAAGAAAAAAAATACTTTTTTTGAAAGACGTCGTAATTACATGAAACGCCATAAAGAAAAACATATACCCATACTAGTCTACTGTTATAATGATAACAATAGTTAAAGATAAAGGTTATTTTATCGTCGAGTTCACAAATGTCTCTTGTGAAATCTTCTATTACTGAACACAAAAATAAACGCATTGATCACATTTCTGTAGTGTGTTAAAACACAAATCACACCGTTTGGCGGATAGAAAAATAAGTAATAGAAAAATCCCAATCATTTATTAGAATGTAAACGAACGCTTGATAAACTCACAGAACAATCAAGTTTTATATTATAAAAAGAATATTTATTTAATCTTATTTCCTATCATTAAGTGGAAAATATTCGACATTTTTCATTTTCTTCTATGCATTTAATCTTATTAAAACATGAATGAATTCGATGTATACTAGTTAGATTACCAACACGATCATCTCTAGTCAATATTTCTCTGATATAACAATCAAATCGAGACAAATGATGAAGTCGATTGATCAGACCTCGTGCTAAATGAATAAATGGTGTACTATATACTGTTTGAAGATACAAATATTCAATGTTGGGTGTATAAGCAAGAAATCGGTCAATATCATTAAAATATAGTTCCGTATAATTACTCCAAACAATAAGACGTCGAAGTGGATGATTTAGTGGTGCAGATGATGTAAATATATTATTGTCGCTAGAGAAAATATGAACTTGCAGATGATGAAGATTGGGACACGAAGCCAGAATTGCTAGAATAGACATTGATTTACAAGAGAATATTGACATACATTGGAGAGAAGGTGACGTAGTCCATGAATGGCAAGTGGAATAATCGATACGACCCAAATGAACATGACGAAGAGATGGAAATTTATTGGAGAATATATCACAAATTAATTGCTGTGGAGGAATGAATTTCGATCCTAATAACAAAGATAGATGAGTCAGATTGGGAATGATTTCAGATTTAATTTGTAATAGATGCTTCTTGTTGCTATCACATAATATCAATGTATGTAAATTAGGAAATTGACTAAAATCACAATGAATGGACGTCTGTATTATTAATTGATTTACATAAGAAGAATAGGATTTCATTAGCAATGGATCAGTTTTCTCATCGAAAGTTAGACATAGATTTTTACAAGATTGAATCATATTGTTCAGCCGTGAATTAAGTCCCCAGAAAGCAGTATATAAATGTTGAATGTCAATAAAAGTAAATAAATAGAAAAATAATTGATTTGGAAGCTGTTCCAATATTGTACACGAACCTAAATTAAAAATAATTTTTTTTAGAACGTAGCGCTCATCTCAATAGAAGTGTTTCGTAATGGTATTAGACTTTATCTTCATGTAAAAGTAGATTTTATGACAAAAAAAAATGAGTAAGGTTCATTACTTGAAAATATTTTTATGGCTTCTTATTTGTAGAAGTTTTAGTTTTCTGTTGATAATGACACGCAATTATAACTTACGGTCTTGAATGTGTAGGACATCGTGTGTGATCTGGTGCACTTTGATATCATTATTTGCATTATGAACAGGAACTTCGGTTTGCACTATATCGGCTTCCAGTTTCTAAAACGAAGCATAAATTTCTTGTCAGAATATCTATTTTTCGAATGTTCATTATATTAAGTATGACTTCAGTTTTAAATCTTTTCTATGGAGTTGTTGAAAAATAAGCAACTCATTCAAATAAGGTATGTCTAAGATGATTATTGAGAAGATATACAGTTGTTATTAGCAAAATCATGACTAGCCTTTGTCTTTGCATCCAAAATATATCGCTTTTTTCTAATCAATAAACTAGCTGCTATATTAAAAACATTTCCGATCATTGATTTAGTCGAATGTGTTGTTAATTTTTCACAATCATCATGTGAACCTACAACAGAATAAAATTGTTTTTAAATAATTTCTACACACAATGATTATAAACCTTTGAAAATAATTTGTCCTTTTCGATAGTGTCCAGCTGTTTCAATAAAACAGACATCATTTACATGAGTAAATTCAGGTGATTTGAAAATCGCTGACTGAGGTACGGTAGAAATAGTACAACTGTTTTCCCATTGTACAGCGCAAAAATTGTGATGACCGACAGAAACTTCTTTTTTTGCATTTGTATCCGAGTCCGATGCTAAAATTCAATGATAATTGAAATAATAATCGAATAACAAGAGACGGTAAGATTCATGTTAGTTACTTGATGTAGCATATAAAGGTTTCACATGGTGAACAGTTCGAAGATGACTATGCAGAGGCTTTTCAGTAGATCTGTAGTGAATATATGTAGCTGGACTACAGACAAGCATTTGAACAGGAAGATGCTGATCAGCACTGAAACGGCTTCGTAATTCATGTGGCGTATCTTTTTCAATATTAACGCCATTTAGTTCGATGATTCGATCAAAATTTTTGATACCCGCTCGATAGGGCAGACTCGATTCCCAATTATCATTGAACTGGATATAATGAAAACGTTCTTTTCGATGATAATATGCATAAAAGCCTAATTTCTGTTGTGGAACTGCACGTTGTATAGTACATAATCGAATATCATCTCTCTCATAAATCAAACTAATGTTGCCATCAATAGATGCTGGATCTGTAATATATATCAAGAAGAATAAAACTATATACGGAAAAAAAGATTTCGATGAATTCGATGTCAAATGATTAGTAGGAATGTCGATTTTTATTTTTTGTTATTATGAAGGATATTGATTTGAATTGTTTTTGTTTCTTTGTGAGGAATTCCAAGCCACGAAAAAATCAATATGAAATAGATTTTACTTTTATGTTTAGTATATTTCAATAAATCTTTAATTTTGTTTTCTCGTTTATTCTCATTGCTGTTATGCAAAACTATGTATCTATGAAAAGAATTTGTAGAGAATTTATCAAATATTGTTGTTGAATTCTTTTCGTAAAATTTTATAGTTAGAAATAATATATGAATTCAGCAAAAACTATAAATTTACGGTGTACACGTGTGTGTCACTGAAGAAATCACTCCTACTATACGAACCCGATTGCAAAATTCGAGTTCAACGCACATGCCTAGTAATAAAGTGTAGAGAAAAGTTGGAGACTATTTGAAATTTTTTTAAACAAGTTTTCCGAAAAACACAATAAGCTTTACTGTATAGTCTTATTTCTGTATATATATATGAATAGGTTTTATTTTTGAAGTTTTATTCGAATACAAGGATATTTTTAAAATCTTTGCTCGAAAAACTGAGTTCTCTTAAAGGTTAGAACTTCGTATGGACAATGAAAAAGATAAGTGGCACTGTAAACTTAAACTTTACTTATTTTGTGATCTCTATGGGAATTTACATTTGCATCTCTAACCTTCAAAATATTGGAGAATGATATTTTTATTTACCATAATGCTCTTCAATCCATGTTTGAATAATTTCGGGTGGATTGAAGCCCCATCCAAACATTTGTTCAATTTTATCTCCATTATCAAGATATTCGATCAAGTGACCAAATTCTAAGATATTGATATTTACATTTGAATGCTGAGCTTCTAAATCGTTGAGTTTGCTAGCAGGCACAAGAACATACTGCCATACTGGTCTGCCGTTCTCTATACCACGAAAGACGTATACCAACTCACCCAACTTTTGTTCTGTTACAATGGCTTTAGGTCTATCTTCATAGCTTGTGAATAAGTTCTAGAAAAATTAAATTAAGATCTTTGATTCATTTTCGAGAAGAATCAAATGTTTTATTTTGTATTTTATTTCGATTAAATATCAATGAATTGTATTATTTTGATTTTTTTTCTTTAAATTTATTTCTTATTTTAACAAAATCTGTAAAAAGAATATGAATATTCAAGGAAAATCTATTGATCAAGTTTTGATTTAATCTAATTTTTCTCGATAAATATTTCTAGAAGAGAATTTTACCTGTAATTTTTCGTAAAATTTCGTCATCAAACAATATATAATGTATTTGTTTCTAAAAGAATTAAGATGACAAAAATTAAAGAATCAATGATTCCTCGATGAATTTTATTATATATTGAAATAGTTATGAATAATCAACCTATGAAGAAGAAATTTTATTATATAAAGAGAACATTATATATCAATATTGACAAGTAAAATAACCTTGAGTCGTCTATTTTTTTTTTCTACTTGTTTTGCCAGTAAATGATAAAAGAGGATCATTTACTTATATAATAGTCACTGAAATTCAGAGTTTTATCGTGTAGTATTACTTCGTTAACGAGGATAATTTTTTTAAAAGTCATATGATGAAAGAAAAACAATGTTAAAAACTCAGGTGAAAAACAAAATAGACATGTATGTAAATGTTTTGTTAATGGTATGTGGACTCTATGAAGTACGAAAATGCACAAGGATATTCTTCATTTGATCATAAAAACGTGTTTCTTTTTTCGATGAGAAGGAAAAGAAAAAAAAAAAACTCAGAACAAATGTTGAAAACGTATTTTATTTAGTGATTCATTTCGCATATGATATTTTTTTAATCATTTTAAATTCAGTCCATGAGATGAAATTATCTATCTTTTATTAGGAGAAGTTGTGTACCGCTATTAACCCTTTACCCCCCATGGAGGTTCCAGAAGAGCCACTGATAAAATAACTTTATTAATACAGTACTACCCTCGCTAGTATGCAAATAGCATAATCTGATCCATCGAATGTTCTGCTCCAAGAGTAGGACGATTTGATTTTGTCCAGAAATCATGGGGTAGGGAAAGAAAATTGAACTACACCGTAAGAGTTGATTTTTATTCTTTGACCACAATATTGAGTGCCCAGAAGGAACATCTATCTCGCGCTATTAGAATAATGGAAAAAAGACGAGAAATAAACCCATAAAAATGAACACCAAAGAATACATGCGTTTTTTAGGTGTTTTTTCAAATTAAAGCGAATTTTATTCTTGGCCATTTAATAACCTCTAATCAAACTGAATTCATCATAAATAGAGTTTCGACTTCTCATGAGTCGAGGTATCTAATATATGTATTAACTGTGCTCTTGATTTCGCCCCATAGGTCAATTGGTGGCTACATGGTTAATCATATTTCTTTGTATGTCATATTCGCTGAGTTATCATTAAAATTTTCAAATATATTTTATTTATCAAAGAACTTCTTCATCAATTAATACCACATAGAAATTCCATGAGATCTCTATTGGCTGCGAGTAGAAAGTATTTTACTTAGAAAATTTCAATTTTTTTCATTTTTTCAAAATTTTCGATTTTTTAGACCCTTTTTTTCAAAGATGGAGCAATCAAAAGGAACAGTCTTTTTACCAATGGATAGCCCATGAAGTTTACTACAAAAAAGGTGCTTAGCGTTGTTTAACCGGATGCTCCCTTTNCTAAATTGTTTTTCCCACTTTCTCATATACACATCGGTTAAGACTTAGGTACACTCTGATCCCATGGGTCCTCCTCTTATCTGTTTATAGTACTAAACTTTCTGTCCGGGTAACTGAAGGGCAAAATATGCATTTTCTAAGACATGTCTAAAGAGGGTCCTAACTGTATTGATGGGTATCTCTCCATTAACCTTATTTATCTTATTCTCACCTAACATCTCGCAAATGGCTAAGATTGATTCTTGTTGGGGTATCATGGTATACAAATCCGTAATGTCAAAAGTATATAAAAGAGTCTGGTTTGTTGTTCCTTGTTTTTTTAATTCTTTTAAAAGTTCTATACTATTTCTCAAACTATATGGGCTTAATCTATCAAAAATGGGTCGAATAATTTGATAAAGAAAAGCCGAGATTTTTTGTGTTGGTGATTTCATTCCCGAAACAATTGGTCTAAGTGGCTCTCCTACCTTATCATCTTTTGGATTATAATAAAGGTGGGGTAACTCGGCATCTATTGGGTTTGGTTTTAATTTCTCAAAATATTTCCCGGGTAACAATTTTCTATTGACTAAATTTCTTAATAATTCTTCTGTCTTTTCTATCATACTACATATTTAATGGGGATTCTTCTATCTCTTGGTGAGCATCTGTCTTCTTCATGTAAGCTATAGATTTTTCTATATATGTCTCAGGCCTATCTACGTGGAATACTTTGGATTTATCTGTTTGTCTGAAAATTACTTTACCCTTTTTTTGCCCCTTTTGAAAATGCTCTAAGGCCTTTTCTACTACTGGGTCTTGTCTCTTTCCTTGGTTTATCTTGGTGAGATCTTTAACCAACTATACTTTATTTTTTATTTATCTATCTATATTTTTTTTATATCTCTCACACAACAACGTAACGCTATATATAGAGTAACAATAAACAATGAACAAAGGAGGGAAATATCCATAGGACAACATGAAAGAAAGAAGAACGAATGAGAAAATTCCAACTTATATAGCCGAGGATGGCATAGTGGTTCTATGCATCTGACTATTAGTCAGACATCAGAAGGTTCGATTCCTTCCCTCGGCATGGTATGTGACCTCGATTTTAAATATAAAAGATATACGGTGATGGAAGAATAGACGCAATGAAGGAAAGGAAAAACAATACATGTGGACATGGTCATAGCTGCCTCGCCAAGATTGTTTATTTTCTATTCTTTGTAATTCTGTTCTCTGTATGTGTTATGTTATTGATTTATCTGTGAACCGAATGAAAAATGGCACAGTAAGAATAAATTTAAAAAAAAAAAAAAAAATTCCAACTTATATGAAAGAAAGGGAAAATTATTGGTGTATGACTAACAAAAGAGAAAAGAAGCAGAGCACAAGTTTATATGTATAATCTTATAAAAAAAGAGGGAAAACCCTTATGACTGCATCTGAAGAAGATACAGGTCATAACACCTCCCCCTAACAACAAAGATGCGCGTCTCGCGCATCGGAAAAATAACAACTGATAATAGAAGACATAACAACAGATAATAATAAAAAAATAACAATAGATAAGAAGTGTTGAGAAACAAAATCAAGAAACAGCCGTATTGAACGATAGACAATCGTTGTGAAAGGACGATGTGTTCTTGCAAGATTTGTGTTGCCACACCACAATCTCTTCTTCACGCCATCGAAATGAATAGAATGTTAAACAGCTGGTCTTGTGAGCCATTCTTGATATAGAATCTCGCGTTGCCACACCACGAGTTCGTTTGTCCATGTCGACGGAATAATTACGTATATTGTTGATATTGGCATACTTGATACTATTGAGACGCTGCCATATCGTGTTCAACCGCTGTTGCTGATGGCGACAATGCATTATTGTATTAGTTCGAATGAATTGTGATCAAACATGCCGTTCCGCAACCGGTTGAAGTTGACTTATATGAGCCAACGTAGTTTTTCCAGTTTGCCTGTCTTCTACCAAATAATTTTGTTCACCTGCTTTCTTGATCACACGGCAAGGTCCTATCCATCGTTCGTCTAATTTGGTGCGATTATCACATACCTTAAGAAACACTGAGTCACCAATAGAGTAAGAAATATCCTTGCGATGTTTGTCATATCGCTGTTTTGTTAATTGTTGTTGGCGACGTATGTTTTCTTGAGCTTGTTTGATAATTATTCGCCGTGTTTTTTGTAAATACTTGTAAAACTCGTCTGATCGAGTTAAAGTCAGGCTCTTTGATGCAGGATCGAATGGGCTCTTCTGTTTTCGTCCAAAAACAAGTTCATACGGGACAAAGCCAGTTGTAGCATGAATGCCGGTATTTTAGGCATAAACCACTGATTGAAGATAATCGCCCCAATCATCTTTATTCTCATCGTAGTACTTTGCCAATTGTGTACAGAATGTGGCGTTAAACCGCTCGGTCTGACCATTCGTTTGAGGATGGTACGAAGCTGAAAATACATGAGTAATATGCATTGTTGTGGTAGTAGTCTTTAGTAATGTATTGTTAAAATGTACACCATTGTCCGTGATGAGTCGTTCAGGTGCGCCATGTATCATAATGAATTCGTTCATAATGAATTCTGCAGCGGCTTTGGCAGTATTATTTGGCATCGCTTTTGCTATTACATATTTGGATAAATTGTCCGTAAGTATTAGTACGTATCGGTTTCCTTGTGCTGATGGGCGGACTGGACCCCAAAAATCCATATGTAGTATTTGAAATACATCCGTTGGTGGATCAAATGATTTGAGATGGCCTGGAGTTTTACTGCGTAGGATGTTGAATTTCATACATTGTTGACAAGATGAGATGTAATGCTCAATTGATTTACGCATATTTGGCCACCAAAACCGAGTACGAATTTTATATAACGTGCGTTTTACTCCAAAATGCCCACCCATTGGATGATCATGAAATGCTTTCAGTACGGCGTGAATCATTGATGACGGTACGTATGGAACTTTGTTCTTGGTGCCATGCTTTCTCTTGGCCACAAGACGAAATAAAATTTTGTTGTAAAGAATAAAGTTGTCCTTTTTCTTTTGAGCATGAATATCTGCAATAATGAGTTGAATATCAATATCTTTATCTTGCTCAGTTTTGATATTTTCCAAAGTAAAATCTATCATTGGTGTGGATGCACGTAGAGGCAGTGGTGTGGTCGGATTTTGTTCTGGCAGCCTTGGCGGTGTTAGAGGACTCGAGACTGCCTGTTTTGTCATTGATCGAGTTATAGCAGAGAGGGACTGGTTGTGATTATTCATGTCGACTGTTTCATATCGAGTAAGATAATCAGGTCCAATATTGTCGATGCCCCGGCGGTATTTAATCTCTGTAATTTGTGGTATTAAATCTTGCAGAGATATGAGCCAATTATCTATTCTTTTGTTTCCGTAATTGTTTTTCTTATGCATGTTGACAAGTGGTTTGTGATCTGTTTCGATGGTGATATCGGAATTTCCAATAAAATTCCGCAATTCTGTGAGACACCAGTAAATTGCTAGAGCTTCCCGTTCTGTGGTTGAATATCGATTTTCAGTATTGTTCAGTAATCTTGATTTGTAGTAGCAAATTTGCAGACCATCAGATGTGTTTTGCTTAAGTACTCCAGCAATTCTTAAATCACTTGCATCTGTAGATAAGATAAATGGTACTGATCGGTCAGGAAAGTTGAGGAACAGCGGTGCAGTTGTCANACTGACTTCAGATTCGGATTCTCCGACCTCGATTTACTTTCGTCAACCTTTATGGAATATCGTTGTTTTCTTATAAAACGGTGTTTTTCTTGCGAATGGGTTTGACTTGGTAACCGCACCTACGGTTATCATCACCGTTGCATCCCTAGTGGAGTAAGGTTGGAGTACGACTGGAGTAGAGTGGAGTATGACTGGAGTACGAATGGAGTATCGGTGGAGTATCAGTGGAGTAGAGTGGAGTATCAGTGGAGTATGAGTGGAGTACCGGTGGAGTAGTGTGGAGTATCGGTGGAGTATGCACTCCTGGAGTATCGCCTTTTCCCCCTTGAAATACCAACATGAGATATACGAACCTTAATGCAATCGGCACGAAAAAATTTGTTACATATATCACATTTTATTTTATTGATTGGTTCAAAATTTAATTTGGATGCTGATCTCGGAGATAACCGACATTCTCCAATATCTCATTGATTAACTAAAACTTGCATTGGATCTTGTTCCATTTCATTACCTGTGTCGAAACAAATTGCTATATATAAAAGAAAAAAACAAGGGAGATTATTATAATTTGAATCATTAATTATTTACTTGATTGATCACTTATTAAAGTGTTTGTTTTCATATGAGATTTATTACGCTATATATAAAAAAAAATAAATAAAATGAGTTTTTAATTTTATTCTCCAATAATTTTTTCTTCAGATGTATGATTATTATTCAATGTAATTGCAAATTATCGTTGATCTACTTTTCTCATATGACGTAAATAAGCTGATCGATGTGCAGATTCATGTTGACATCTTGAACAATATTTATTTTTAGGATTTAATTGTTTTCGTCAATGAATTTTTATATCATTATCCTGAAGTTTATTTCCAATTGTAAAAGTGCGAATGCGGGTATTCATGTCTTTTCATCTACACCCACACCCAGCTGCCGTCAATTTATTTTCAAAAAATAACTGTAACATCTATGACAATTAAAGCGGCAAAATCAGTATCCGGCAGATCCAACATGTCTATCTCAGCACTCAGCCGTATCGCCACAGCCAAACTTAATAAGCCGGTAATATCTCCTAGTAATGCAACTGCAATAACTATATTATACACAAAACAAAAGACGTGTCAGTAGTTAATAGGGAAACAGAAAAACTCTGATTTCGTCTAGAATTATAGGACAAACACATTAGAATTACGAATATTCCATAGGACAACTGCAAGTCAATACTGTTCATAATTTCAAACTTGTTCGATTACACTCGAACAGCAGTAAGCCAAACGTAAATAACCTCAAAAGGTTTCCTCCTAAGATGTACGCATCATATTGTGACGACAGTATTCGATTTCACGATTCAGTCGCACGTAAATGATTTGAGATTCGGTTTGTCGTCACAGGCGCGCATCAAAAATACAACCTAAAAATAAAAATTGGCATTAGATCGTAATTAGCTACAACGTGGCTCAATTATTATCGTGCAACATACTCAGAATGGACAAGTTCGAAAATTAAAAACAAAAATAAATATTTTATATTTGTTGATTTTTTTTTGATAGTTATTACGACTTGCTCAAGCAGTTTGTTATGTGAATGTATTTTTTATTTTGATAATCAACGTTACAATCAAAATATCGAAAACTAGAATTTCACGAAATCAATCATAACTCATTGGGAGTCAAATCGCAAGTGTTCTTCTCTACAGCAATTTCCTCTTCTTCTCAAAGAAAGAACATGATAATTTGTCAAAGCGTTTATTCATTTCCACTATATATAATCATTTTTTTTTTAAATATTTTTTTCTAATTGCTTAGACTCTACCGAATGTATCTATCCTATTAAAGAAACTTAAACTGTTTGGATAGCATTGACACAAGGATTATTACAATTAATAATTCCTACATCTCTTGTAAATAGTCCTAATACAAATCCACTTCTGAATTACATGTGGAATTCACAAGTAAGATATGAACAAAAAATAAAAATTCTCTTAATCCTTTTTAGAGCATCATGCAACAACATTAGTCGATGGGTATAATCATTCAAATGACAATGAACAACAACAACAACGTCTGGCTCATGTTCTTGAAATCGTACAAGATTTAAAAGCTTTATCCGCATTACTTGCAGCAGAATCGATAACATTTATTCTTGATTTAGTTTGTTTAGCATCAAGACGTGGTTATTAAAAGTTAGATAAATGATTATTAGATAAATTAGATGAATATCCAGTAAGAAGAAAGAAAAAAAACATTATATTATAGAAGTGTTTTATTTTAACTACAATTACCTTCAAAAGATGATACAAATTATTAAAAAAAATCGATAATATGAAAACAGTCAATATACTTTTACACGGGTGGCCTTCAATTAGCATTACCATTAATAACAAATCTAGATCTAATACAAGTAATTCAAACAATATCAGCAGCAACACGTCCATTTATACCATCATCAACCAATGGACTATCATTATCAACTGAAGTTTTTTAATTACAAAGACGTAACTATATATTTTCTTTCAAATTATCGTATATACACTTGCAATCAACGGATTGTTGCCACAATGTAGAAAGAATGCTATCGGATGGAGTAGAGATTATATATGAGTCGTGTAAAATGCAAAATTTTATCATAACTATATCTCAGTGTAGGATCACCAAAAATATTTGAAGATATCACAATAAGCTATTGTCGATGAGTTCAGTCTCTGTGAAAAGTTTCAAGTTGAAATTCGAAAATGAGTTTTCGTGACGTCTCTGAGAAGGACCATAAGCAAAGGACTCGACGCCTTTTCAGTGCATTCGTAGTCTATTAAGGTCCGCATGAAGCACATGGCCTCGACTCAAGAGTGAATAATCGATTGCAGAACTTTTCTCGTCAGCTATGACAACTGTAATTTGTGAAGAGTTATCTTTGGATGTCTTATGATAGATTTAAACTGTATCAGAAAAGTCGGTTCATAACATTGATATTGAAAAGTCGAGAAGATGAAAAAGAAAAGAATAAATAGAAAATAAAAATTGATCAAAGTAAGAAAAATAAAGTTTTTATTTTTCTGTTTTCTCTTTTTATTGTCTTTGTTAGGGTTCAAATAATAATGATTCATCAATAGTGAAAAAATGTAAAGATTCTATCTATTCCAAGAGCATGAGTAAGAGTCAAAAATAAAATATTTGTTTTCATAATAGATTAAGAAATTTATTTGATGAATATAAATTTTATCCTCAATGCCCTGATAGAGAATTAATTTTAACAGCACAACTACTTGGTGCATTTTTTGAACGTTGTTTATTGCAAAATCAAGTTTCTTATTGTAGCATTTCGAGTTGTACTTGAAAGATTAAGAACCCAGTTTGATCTAACGTTTGAAATTTTTCTCTGTGACAACACTTAGTCGATATAAAACAAGGTGAGATATTTTTTGTAGATTAAATAAGATTATTTTCTAAGAAATGTCATATATCAGATATAATGATGAATACAAACCTTTATTTTAACTTACTATTAAAAAGTCTTCTACCAAAAATTTCAACACACTAGTAGGTGAGAATTTCGTTGTTTAACTTCTTTTTGTGAATATTTTGTACACAATCGAATAATTAGTATAATGATCAAAATCCTTGAAACCAACCTTATTAACACAAATTCTTTTAGAATAACGTTCTAAATGGATAGATAGTTCATCTACAATAAGACTGAAAAAAGAAACTAGAATAGTTCATCCTCATGCCTTGTAATTCTTGAGTTGTGATCGTTTCATTTGATTTTTATCTACAGATAATTCTCATGACCATTATATTGTATTAGAACTTTCGGTCTAAAAGAATTTTTTCTTCTTGAGACATTGAATATCTAAAAAGCAATTATGTGTCACAATATCTCAAGATATATGCATCATAGTCTACAAACTGATATATATATATATCTAATTCAAAACAATATGTGACACTTGATGATCTTTCTTCATTCGACCTTCACATACTTTACGAAATTTATCAATTTATTCAAAACTTCCATCTGTCATAGATGATTATCTTGATTATAATTCCAAATCAATCCACATTCACATGTTTTCAACAATGAATGGTATACCATCGATGACAACAACTATTTAATTATACTGGAAAAGACAATACTACACAAAAAGGCGTATCTTTATTTATAAAAAAAAGAAAACAAAACTCAAATTTTCATATTTCATTTATTTTCCTTTTTTTAGACATCATTAATACAAAATGCAAATATTCGTACATTAATCAATGATCCAACATATAATCTTGTTCGAATAAAACAATCACTTGAACATATTAATGATAAAATTACGTTTACATTTAATAACTTATCATTTTCGAATCTTAGTCAAAAGGTTTTATTTTTCAAAGCAAACAAACAATTAATATTTACATTTGTAATATTTTAGACACAAGAATTAAAAGATTTATTAAATAATGATGAACAATTATGGAAATTGATTGTACAATATTTAACTATAAAGCGCGTTTCTTTTTGATATAGTTTTCAATATAACACATTGAAATATGAAATTCTTACTTTTATTTGTACGAAAC